CGTCTCAAGCCAACTACCTTATCATTGTACATTCGGCACTGTGACCAGAAGTTATGCAGCCCTTGCACAACAACCCGATGGCTGGCCACATCAGTTTTTTTCCGCATGCTCATGAGGATACAAGAAAATTACTACTGTCCAGGCCTTCCCGCTGATGTCGCTTGTTACGTGAGGACATGTCAGGATGTAGGCCCGTGCGCTCAGATTTGGGTGCACGTAAAATAAAGAACCACAGGTGGTCAAAATTTCTGGAGCTCTCCGCTACGACGTCTCTCATAATCATATGGTGGTTTTGGGATGTTGAACCCCACATATCAATCAATCGAGGATGGTCAGTGACTCAAGACTCTGTCGACAAGGACAGCGGGACTTCGGCAGCTTATTGAACCATGTCACTGTCCATTTAACCAATCAGTATAGACTGATTAGGACTGTTCCCAGTGCCGACCGTTAAAAAGAAGTGGATCATCGTAGCTACCGACCATCTTACCCACTATATTGAAACAAGGGCCCTGCCCAAAGGCAGTGCTGCGTAGGCATTGAAACTAGTCATTGAGATAATTGTCTTGAGCCGTGGTGTGCCAGAGGTCCTCATCAACGACAGAGGTATGGCCTTCACAGGGGTGGAAATGCTGCGCCTATTGCACCATTCTGTGCTGAACTGACCTGCCATGCATAAATGGCATTCTTGCGACAATTGTCAATTGCGTGTAAAGCGTTAAACCTAACCAATTATTATTATTGACCATGCAACACTGAGTGTTGGCCTGCACAAAAGACACTACTGCATCTATATCCAGTGTTCGATCACGTTGTAATTTGGTTCATTCATGGGGTTTGCTAGTGCTCGTCTCGTCAATGTTATTGCCTTGGTTTCCCTTCAAAAGTGGTGTCACCAACGTGAGTGTATGTAAGTTATCTAGTAATGCAGTGAAACCTCGATAATTTGTATCCGCGGGGAACGTGGCATGATCATGCACTGAGCGGCAGTGTACGTTTGCAAGTACAAATGTGCATCTCCTTACGTGGGCCTTTGCTACAGCAGATTTTGCCCCAATTACCCACCAAAAAGTCTTTCCTTCCTTTTTGCCGAAGTGCAAAACAGATATTAGGCTGTTACTCTCGAACGATTGTTTTATAACACTCGGTGGTAACGCCATGGAGCATTTCGAAACTAATACAGGGCCAGGGATATGCAGTGACTAGATAGCGACAGAACGAACACTATAGGCTTTCGGCAATACATATGTGAACTTCTTTATTGTGATCTGATACAAAGCGACTACTGACAGTTTCAAGGAAACATGGAGCAGTCGTGTGGATTCGGAGCAACTCCTGTTTAGTTGCGTGCAGCACGGCACCTATGCTGTCCACATCGCCCCTGCCAGGCGACTCGTTTTATTGTGCCCTCGGATTTTCGTGTGAATGTCTCGTCCCTACTCAGCTCCATGCCGAGCACAGATGAGCAGAACAGTGTGTTTAATTAGCATAGGGATAACAAACTTGAACCAAGTAGAGTGCACTGCAATCATCAAGTGGTCTTGAAAACTAAGAGATGAGGATCACTTGTCCCTTGAGATGAGGATCACTGTCCTTTGATTGTGCCAAAGCTGCTCCAAAACAGCATTATTCCTGCTCCCTGAGCTTCTCCAAAGCACTGAAATCCACTTCTATTCCTGCCTTCGCTGCTTACCTTACTCAGGTTAGCTTGAAAAACAGCCAAACAAGTCACGACTAAAACGGAGCCTACCACCCACAGACCAAAGGCCTCACCGAGCATTTATATAAGACTACTATAACAGAATAATGACTAGGTGGGCGAGCTGGTTTGGGTTTATACTGAAGAATTATTATGGCAGTGCTATAACAAATACAAAGGACAGGAAGAAGAATGTTGGTCTTAGAACACAATATGTGGGATGCCATCCTTGCATACGTGACCTTCGCATATGACACGGCCATGCGAGAAACGAGGCACATGATGCTATACAAGTACGTCTACACCGACGAAGAAAACACTGTTGTCAGTACCTACCTTCAGTGCGCTGACGAAGCCAGACAATTCGTCCATCAGTTCATCAAGGCGCAGCAAAAGACCTTCAACGACGCCATGTAGAATATCAGGCTAGTGATGGTGTTTGGGTCTTGATGCTGATACATGAACGTGGACTGATGGTTGGTGCACACCAGCGACTAGCAGCGGTCGCGCAACCATTTGTGACTGGCGACCAAGACGCGGCTGATGTTCACACCAGCAGAGGCTGCAAGCGAGCGACCAGAAGTCGCAAAACCGAAGAGCCACGTCCGGATCTCGTTGTCAGTGAGCACTCTGGAGGCCGATGCCGATCAGCTGGACGCCGCCAGCTGAGTCAGTGGAGCAAACTGAGCATGCCGCATTTATTGTTTTTATCCGTTCTCGCACAGCGTTCTCAGCAGTGTCAAGGAGTTCGATTCAAGCGAAGAACAAGAAATTGTCATGGTACTGGTGAGCTATGCCATGGTATCAGCGCTGGCAGCACAGAAGCCTCCAAAGGAAAAAAGACGGTGGTGGGTGTGACCGTCCCTTCGCTCGCGAGAGTCGGCCGGCCGTGCAAGGCGCCTATCTCCCGAGCTGCTCTGGGATCATCATCATCATCATCATCAGCCTGACTACGTGCACTGCAGGACAAAGGCCTCTCCCATGTTCCGCCAGTTAACCCGGTCCTGTGCTTGCTGCTGCCAATTTATACCCACAAACTTCTTAATCTCATCTGCCCACCTAACCTTCTGTCTCCCCCTAACCCGCTTGCCTTCTCTTGGAATCCAGTTAGTTACCCTTAACGACCAGCGGTTATCCTGTCTACGCGCTACATGCCCGGCCCATGTCCATTTCTTCTTCTAGATTTCAGCTATGATATCCTTAACCCCCGTTTGTTCCCTAATCCACTCTCCTCTCTTCATGTCTCTTAAAGTTACACCTACCATTTTTCTTTCCATTGCTCGCTGCGTCGTCCTCAATTTAAGCTGAACCCTCTTTGTAAGTCTGCAGGTTTCTGCTCCGTAGCTAAGTACTGGCAAGATACAGCTGTCATATACCTTTCTCTTGAGGGATAGTGGCAATCTACCTGTCATAATATGAGAGTGCTTGCCAAATGTGCTCCACCCCATTCTTATTCTTCCAGTTACTTCAATCTCGTGGTTCGGCTCCGCGGTTATTACCTGCCCTAAGTAGACATAGTCTTTTACAACTTGAAGTGCACTATTACCTATCTCAAAGCGCTGCTCTTTTCCGAGGTTGTTGTACATTACTTTAGTTTTCTGCAGATTCATTTTAAGACCCACCTTTCTGCTCTCCTTGTCTAACTCCGTAATCATGAGTTGCAGTTCGTCCCCTGAGTTACTCAGCAATGCAATGTCATCGGCGAAGCGCAGGTTACTAAGGTACTCTCCACTAATATCCCTAACTGTTCCCATTCTAGGATATATTAGGGCTCAGTGAGGTTAGGAGGACAGATGAGGCCTATACGGTGCTACAAAATGGGCATGTCCTTTGCTCTGGGATGACGAGGAGTATTTCCGAGAGTGGTGCGTATTCAGAAACGCTCCTTGAATTTAACTTGACTTGCGACAGCCTCCAATGCAGCACAAACGCGTCTCGAACGCAGTGTCTTTAGTCGGTGCGAACGCATGGAGCACAAACTTGTTCCAAACGCGCTGCATTGAAGGTGGTGGCAAGTCAAGTCCAAGACAAAAAACGATTCTGAATGCGAGGAAAGATGGCACACAATCAATTTTTTTATACGTATAGTTGACACTTTGCTTCATCTGCTGCCCCCCGCCATCTCCAAGCCAAGTACTCTATGGTGGCCATGGTGGCACAGACCCAGAGGAACGCACTTGTTTGTATCTGGTAGCTGGGGGCCAGCGCAAGGAAAAAACGGAAAAGATGAACCCGGATATAAAGAAATACTGATGTCACTTCTGGGCATCGCTGATTGGTTCCAGTAGCTTTGACACTGCAGTCGCGCGACGGAAAAATTGGTCAAGAAACGACTAGCCAAAGCAGTCGCTTTGCGACCGTTCGCGACTGATTGCGACCAGTCGCAAATGGTCGCGCGACCGCTGCTAGTCGTTGGTGTGCACCAGCCTTGAGCCTTTGGCGATACTTGATGTCATACAAGGTACATCTCGGCACTATCGAATAGGAAGTTATCCTGGACGTCAATGGTACAGCACACGACCTGAGGTCATTACAGTCTTAAACCATTCTGTACGTGTCAAGGAAACTGAAGTGTTGTTTTACACTGCATGCATTTTTTCAATTCTAAGGTCTGTTTTAAGCATGGAGGTGACTCTTTATTTAGAAGGGGGGCATTGCCATGTGTATTGTGCTATTTTGATGTTCTCGGATATCACCTGCTGCAGCGGTGTGTTTACACCACGCCGCAGTGTTGGGAAAGCTTTTCGATTGTTAAGAGATGATTCTGTTCAGATTGCATGCAGGATGCTAATACTCTAGAGTAGGGGTAGGCAACTTTTTATGGTTGATGGCCAATTAGCATGACACAGCTGGGGGGCCGGAGAAAGGCAAATCAGGAGTGGGGGGAGGCAGGCAAAGTGTGAGAATCCGGTGAACTTACAACAATAATTTCCAAAATTATATTAGAAACCACTTTTCAGCATGCATGTTACAAAGTTGCTATAAAACATTGAGTTACAAATGAAAATTAGGTCAAAACTATCTGCTTTAGATAGGGAGTGACAAGGGAAGGAGGGTGGTGCTGACCCCCTTTTTGAAGCAGCCACCGGTAGTAATGCTGGAATCATCGGTAGCAGGTGCATGTCAGATTTGCCTTGAGCACTGTCAACATCACAACCATGTCACAATAAGCAATGCCTAGGCTGATTTACTTGTGTTGATGTAATGAAAACTTCGCTGCACTTTCCTATTAGCCAAGTGTTCTGGCCTGCAAGGCTGCTTCAGAGGGAACATATAATGTGCTTTTTCTTTATATTTTCAGAGAAGGTCAACCGTACTGTGAAAAAGACTACCAGAAGCAGTTTGGTGTCAAGTGTGCCCACTGTGATCGATTCATCTCTGGCAAAGTGTTGCAGGTATTCTTGCGAGTGTTGAGGTTGTCTGACCCACAATCTATTAGGGTGCATTTCCTTTTGGATTCATTGCAGGCACAAGCACCAGTATAACTGTAGGTCCTTTATAGTACTTTTAAAATGGGTAGGCACTTTTAAACAGGAGCATCACATGGAAGCTCATTTATGCGACCTTTAATTTCTGTGATGGCTGGGGTTGTATGAAGCCCACATGGATAGCGCATGAAAGACCTCAATGAAATTGAGAGCACGTCCCATTTCATAGAAAGCGTTAGGCCCATTCTTCAGGATTCTCCGTGTGATTATATTTAGACTATGCTTTCCTTGACTTCATTATGTAGGGTTCTTGATTGGATAAGATTCCGTGATCCAATCCCCTGCTTTGTTGCAAGAAGGATTTGTGTGAGAAAGCTCCTCCTTTCTCTCGCATCCCTCTTGGCTCCCCTGTTTTGTTTTGTGATTTCTGTCTTGGCATTTTTTCTTTGCCCACCCACACTTTTGCACATGATATTTCTTGTCATGATTTTTCTCTACCTTCTTCCATCATGAAATACTTCCATTTTATATTTTTAAAGGAGCTGCTGTGCTGACTTAAAATATGCAGGTTTGATCCTGTGTTTCATTTCAGTAGACTTCTGGAGGCCTGTGTGATTTATGTGCACGATTTCATTGCAAGTGGTCAAAACTAACCGCAACCCTCCACAATGGCATTTTGGCAGCACCCCAGTAACCAGCCAACCATGTTTTAACATTGTGATTGGTGTTCTCAAACAGTTTGAAAACTGGATCGTCTCTATGTACCGCTTTGGGGGGACAATGTTCTGAAAAACAAGCAGCACAGAAACTTGAAGACAAGCTGTTGATATTTGAACAAGTGGAGAGTCGAGAATGCATGGAACCACAAAGGCTAACCTTCGAGAATCTTTTCAATACGTTCACTGCGTCACCGGTGGGTCACGGTTAGTGCTTCCCGTGTGTGGCTGCGAATTTACATGCCTTGCATCTGCGATAACTTCATGACACGCAGAGGTACAATTTTGTTGCAGGAGGATACACACGCTTAGGAGAATACTTGCCTGGTGTTAGAGGCTGTGACCCAACGGTGATTCACCACGCACTCAATGAAAGTGTTTTTGTACAGCATGTTTGAACTAAGCATGAGAGCTCTCCATCTTGGTCTGAAGTTCCGAATTACAATTATGAGGCAGGGTGCCCCAGCTATCTTCAGCCAGAGTTAAAAATTATGTGGACACTTGCAGTGACGATGCTATTAAATGCATGTTGCTGACTGTTGCCTGGAGTGATTCGGACTATATTTTTTGTTCTGATTAACTGCTTAATTAGATCACTTTTATTAACAAACCATTTAAGCTATGAAAATGGGCCATAAATTCCAGTGAGATAGTTGTTTATTGGTTTGCAAAACATTCGATCAGAGAGTTTCCAGCTTTATATCTGTTAATTTGTGTTTTTCTGCTAACTACAAATACCCGCGAAATGTAAAAAATACCACGTGACAAGCCCGCTCGCACACCAGTGCGCATGATGATTCTAGTGCTCCCTAACATTCCACGTACGAATGGCAATAGCATTTGCTCGACTGTGCTGGCTCAACAGGGCCGTGACGATGGTGGTGGCTTTCATACCTGCTAACTCTCCCGAAATGTTGGGGAGACTTGAATTTCGACTTAACCTCCCGATTGTACGAAGGCTATCTCGAATCTCCCAAAAAGTGGCCGCTGCAGCAGAGGCTTTTTTTTTTTCAAAATCGCCTACGTACGTCGGCCTTTCCTGCTGCGACAGTTGGGGTGCTGCAGAAAAGCACTCACCGCTACACTTTTAGTGCAATGTAACTGCTAAATGTGTCCCGCGCATCTGGGTTTAGGCCGGAGGCTGCGAGATGCACTTGCCACCGTACAAAAAGAAGGAGAGGGAAAGGTACCTCAACTTTTAGGCTTGCCTTGGCCCTACATTTTGTATGCTAGACCTGTAGATATGCCGCTGGCCTAGGCTAGTCAGTTCTGTTGAGTGGTGAGGGAGGGGGGGGGGGATCGGTTTGCGTATTTTTCAGAGTTCAATTGGAAGGTCGATGGTGGTGTGAAAAAGCAAAGTAGTAGTACTTCAAAGTGCTTCTGGACACATACCCAGCTGAGTTTTCATGCTTCATCACTTCGCAGGAAGCTATACCAAATTTTCATGCTGCTAGGTTGGCAGGTATGTGGCTTTGCGATGAAAACGTTTTGCTATCGGCCACAAAAGCGATAACCTCTGTGACGTGGAATGTTAAGAAGCACAGAATCGTGGAGCGCGTAGGCGCGCCAGTGGGCTTGTCACGTGTTTTTTTTTTTTTTTTTCATATCATGGGCATTTGTAGTTAGCAGAAAGACACTAATAATTAACAGATATAAAGTTTGAAAATGTCTAATTGGAACTGTTTAATAGGTAATTAAAGGGCCTAATTAAACAGGTAGCATGCCAGTGGGCTTGTCACGGGGTTTTTTTTGCATTTCATGGGCATTTGTAGTTAGCAGAAAGACACTAATAATTAACAGATATAAAGTTTGAAAGTATCTAATTGGAAATGTCTAATAGGTAATTAAAGGGGCCTAATTAAACAGTTAATTACAACACAAAAAAATATCCTGACTCACTCCAGGCAACGGCTCCGCCATGGTGGTCTAAGGTGCTCGGCTGCTGACCCGCAAGTCACGGGATCGAATCCCGGCTTAGGCGGCTGCATTTTATATGGAGGCAAAAATGTTTCAGGCCTGTGTGCTGAGCTCAAATTTAGGCGCACGTTAAAAAACCCTAGGTGGTCGAAACATCCGGAGCCCTCCTCTACGGCATCTGTCATAATGATACGGTTGTTTCACTTCAGGCAACGGTCAGCAACATGTGTTTGGTCCTTGTGTGTGTAGTCACATTTTTAAACTTTGGCTTAAGCTGGCTGGGGCACCCTATATATTATCTATTTCACTGTACGTGAGGTGGCGCAATTGTAGAACAGAGTGCCGGCATGTTCCTCCATTGTGTCGCTTGCAAAGTTTTCCTGCAATTTCTGAAGTATGTTTCATTGCACCAAGTGTAGGAGTTCTTGCTCCAAAACATAACTGCACACCTAATGGAGGCTTGTACCTTTTACGGGTACAAAAAAAAATGCAGCATCGAGGAAAGAAACCAACTAATAACAGAAATTGACTTCATGTGTTTTTTAATGTGGCAAGCACTTTGTGGTTGAACATGGATTTACATGAAAAAGGTGGAAAACAGCTTTGTATCTTTAAAATAAAAGTGCCAAATGCCAAGAGGTGGCAGTGCCATCTCATTGGTTAGATGGTATGAGATGGGGTTCCCATCAGCCTCATTGATGAACTAGGACATAGCACTAAAGAAGCACTGCTGACATCCGTAGAAAAGTGATTAGAGGAGAGGGAATTAGCAGACAGTCGGAGGAAAAGTAGAATGAACTCAATCTCTAAAGGAAAGGGAGAAAAGGATAACATTTGCTCGTATAGACCGCTAACCATTACATCTGTGCTACAGGTTGGCGATTCAGGTTGTAAAATTAAATATAGAAGCGTGGGCAGAGCAAGATAATATTTTGGGAGAACTTCAGAATGTATTCTGAATCGACAGGTGGTTAGACGTTGCTCTCACTCATTGTATACAAATATCTAAAATAGAAAACAGGCCCTTATACGTAGCTTATCTGGACGTCACTGGGGCGTGTTGACAATGTTAATCAGGAAATTTTGTGGGACATATTGAAGAAAGTGGGCATAGGTGAAGACTGTATACAGCTTTTGAGAAAAATATACCGAGCAAGTACAGTTTGCATAGAATGGGAAGAAATAAGTAGCAATGACAGCGTTGAAATTAACAAGGGGCTGAGACAGGGATATCCCTTGTCCCAGCTGTTATTCAGGCTGTACATGGTGAGGATGGAAAAAGCGCTTGAAGGTAGCAACGTTGGGTTTAATCTTATCACACAAACAGGCTGGCGCGATGGTTGAGCAGGTGCTTTAAGTTCTATTTTATGCAGGTGATATTGTCCTACTTGCGGACAGTCAAGACGATATATACAGCATCTGGTAGATATATGTGGAAGGGAATGTGAGGCTGTAGGACTAGGATTTAGTGCAACGAAATGTGGATTGATGGTATTCAATGATCACAAAGACCAGGCGGTCTCAATACAAGGCCGAGAAATACCGAGGGTAAGCGAGTACAAGTACCTCGGAGTATGGTTAAATGAGGGCGATAGATAAATGTAGGAACAGGAAAAAACATTGGCAGCACAGGGAAAGTGGTATGCTGCAATAATGAAGCACAGGCTTTATGGAGATATAATAGGTATGAAGTGCTTCGAGGTCTGTGGAAAGGCATAATGGTTGCAGGGCTTTCATTTGAGAACTCAGTGGTGTATATGAAGTCGGAGGTGCAATCAAGAATGGTTGTAAATCAAAGGACTGTGGGACGTCTTGCGTTGGGTGCTCAAGGGAAGACAAGGAATGAGGCTGTAAAAGGGGATATGAGATGGACAGGCTTTGAAGTAAGGGAAGCTCTAAGCAAAATGAGATTTGAAGAGAGGCTTAGGAAAATGGAGTGTAGATGGGTCGGGAAAGTGTTCAGGTATTTGTATAGGAAGAGCGTGGACACAAAGTGAAGAAAAAGAACTAGGAGGCTCACCAGTAAATATACGGCTGGCAGTGTGGGTGATATGGCAACAAAAAGCATTCAGCGAAGAGTCAGTGAGGCGGAGAGGATATATTGGATGACAGCGATGAAAAAGAAGCCGGCTCTCGGTAACTACCCAAAGGGCAAGAATGGAGAGCTTTTATAATAATTCAAGGGGAAGCGCTTTACTGTTCAAAGCTAGGTCGGGTTGCCTTAGAACGTGTAGTTATAGAGCGAGATTCAATAAAGAAGAACAATGTACATGCTGTGGGGGAGCTAAGGAAACGATGGAATATGTTATGATTGAATATGGCGATTATTCAGCC